GTGGGTGTTACTGGGTTTTGAGTTGGGGTGGTTAGCTTCAAACCAGCGAGCAGGGCCCGGTCGTAGAGGACAAAACACAGGCAAAGGCTTTTTTCCTCCTCCTCCTCCTCCTCTGCTGTGTTTGTATAATAATAAAGTGTTTTTTGGCATAAAAGCAGCATGGGCCCCGGGAGAGATTTGGAAATACCAGTCAGAAGAAATGCCAGGACTTTAACCCTTGGGAGTTTAGACTATATGTGGCACCGTGCACGAGGCAGGCACTTGCAAAATGAAATGTTAAGGAAGCAAGATACAAAGGGTAATGCTTGGGATTTTCTACAACTGAAAAAATTTCTACTAGAAGGCCTTACTCATCATAAAACATGTAGTTTTATTCAGAAGTGTTAAGATCAGTGTTTTTAGGACTGCGATACTGCGAACGCAGACAACTTAATAGTTCAGACTCAAAATAGCCTTTTCCCCCGTTATTTTCCATTCTTTTTTAACCTTAACGTGCATCTTTTCAATGGGAATTGAGTCCTGTCATCACCATGCCCCCAAAGTTGAAAGTTTAAGAAACTAAAGTATGATGAGGATTACAAAACTATAAACATTGGCAACCTGGAGACTACTCCTGAGAATTGTTGCTGCACAGCCAAGGAGCCATATGGAAATCTTGGATTCTTTGTTTTGAAAAGGTTGTCGTTACTTCTACCACCAAAGTTAAGAGACAACGTGAAATAACTATTAATAACAGATAAGGTGAAGAGACAAACACGGATTTTTAAAATTAGAAGTCTACTTGGTACAACAAACATTGAACAAATTGGCAGATAACATCAGCTCTTTCAGAGAGTTCAACGTGTTACTTTGCTCGGGGTTCTGCAGTGAGTGGGGCTGGCGGTAGCAGATTTCCCTTTGAAGGGCAGAAACTGCACAGCTCCGTGGATCAATTTTTTCAGGTGAGATTTACTAAGTAGCTTTAAAAACGAAATAACTGTGCAGCTGAGTTGGTAAAAAAGAAAAGATGAAAGGTTATAAAAGCAGAGACTTTCTTTTAAATGACTTCAACACTACGTGAAAAGCATTAGGGGCTGAACTGAATATACAAAGCAAATATATTTTTAATTAAGGCTGCTGTGGGAGCCTTCAAAGCTGTAAAAACGGTGGTGTACCTTTTTATGGCTTATGTAAAGGAAACTTCCAATGCAGTAATGCTAAAATTGCATAGAACTGAAAAAAAATCTGACATACTGTGTTAAGACAGGTGATTGCCTTAAGAACAATCTCTTCAGGTCAGCAAGAAGGAAGCTCACTTCTAAAGGTCCAATGAAAGTTTTAGTCTGTCCTCATTTGTTCAAAAAGAAAATTCTGACTTTTAAACTGCAGAGATGTGTCTCCCATGTATAACACATCAAAAGTAGTTGGTCAAACTTTATTAATGTTAAGTTTCTAGCACTTAAAAACACAGCGTCTAATCCAGTATCGCTCCTGTCCTTAAAACCTCAACTGACTTCTAAGAAGTCAAAGCAGGAAAAGAAGTCAAAATAGGGCCTGCAATATTTTTCAGTCCTTTTGATCAATACACAGCAATAACAAAATGTCTACCCTCTCCCTGGTAGCAAAATCTTTAAAAATGCAATCAATACAAAATAACAACTCCAGCAGCAAAATGTTACTCCTCTTGCCAACTCTCTTCAACTGAAAGATTAATCTTAAAAGAAAATACCTATATATTCTCATCTTTCCTGACAAACCTTGACAGTCTGTCTCTCTAGCAGAGCAAATCAACAGAAGTATTTCAGACCACTGCAGGGAGGCAACAGCGAGATTAGAAGGAAGGGGCCTTCCTTAATCTGTATTAAACTAGAAGGGCTGTGAGCTCACCCTCTGTTCATAGCCATAGTCTGTGGTGGCCGTCATATTTCCAAGCACCAGAAACTGAAATAGTTTCAACAGTCTAGGTCTCTGCAGTCTGAAATTGTAGAGCCAAGATCTCCGGGTTGTCAGAGACCTACGTCCTCTGGACCAGAGGGGACCATGAACCGTGCAATGCCCAGATGCTTAGGAACTGCTTGGAGAGAAAGCAGGGGTGTCTCAAAAGGCCTAACCCAAACTGCATTTCACAAATGGTTCAGACCTCGTTACAGGCAGAAAATAGCAGTCGAGGAAATTAAAAGGACTCCAGGTCTCTGTAAGGACACAGGGCTCCATCAACACACACATTTGGCCTTCGCCCACTTCTCGTCATGTTCCGGTCCTGGTTCACGTGAACTACCCCAGTGCTGTTTGGCTTCCTAGTAATGGATGTGTAATGACTCTACAAAAGGACCTCCTTTTCTTCACTTAAGCAATGTAAACTTGCTTCTTTTAAAAATCTAAATCGGTATTAGATGATGACCAATATATTACCTAATACCAAAACAGAGTTTATTAATCTCGAAAGTTTTTTAAGGGGATTAAAAATATCCAGGAAAATGTTTAATCATCAGAGTCAACCTGGACAAGAATTTAAGAGAAGTAGCAAGTAAGATGCAGAATTTTCATCACCCATCTCTGTCCTTTTCATCTTCTCTAGTATATGAATGTTACCCTTTACAGAATATATAACATTTATCCTGACCATGGACCTAAAGCTTTGCAAGGTACATTTCTGAATATGGTACAGTCTCTTTTTTAACATTTTCCTATTTAGGAGCACAATGCGCGTGGGAGCCTTGGCTTTGATTTTGAAGAAGTGGAAATTTTTTCCCCTGTATTCTTCCCTCTCTATCCCGATTTTATCCATTTGCAGATTTTACCACTCGTTCCTTTTCCCTATTATCTACCAGTGTGAACAACCAATCCTGGCTGCTCTCCCACACATATCTGCCCTTAACAATAATTTTGAAATGTAGCATAGATTCTCTTACATTTCATTTACCAGCTTAAGCAGTATTTTTCCTATTAATATACGTTATGGAATATGTAAATACATATCAGATGTTGCCCAGCTTCAGGAGCTCTGTGGCTACAAGGACTGTTCAGGTGGGAACCATGGTAGGAGCCTGAATGTA